GACAGGTGACCTGGGTGCTTGAAGACCACGACAGGTGACCTGGGTGCTTGAAGACCAGACAGATGACCTGGGTGCTTGAAGACCACGACAGATGACCGGGTGCAGAAGTTGAATGCTTTGAACAGGGAGGTCTTGTGACCTGACGGGTCCATTTAAATGATCACATTCTCTGTCTTCTATGGAACGGCTGCAACACAGGATAGTAGCAAAAGGGCCGTCACCAAGACCGTGGCAATAGATTAAACAATGGCACTGACTCGGAGCAGGGGGGTTGGGTGGCCGTGGCAGAGAAAAGGAAAGAAAGAACTGGAGGTTTGTTTGAAGGTAGAACGGACGAGACTTACCGTGATGGATTCTGGAGGAGAAGGAAATTTTTAAAATAAAGATGACCCCCAGGTTGCCTGGTTCGATTTCTCAGGAGGCAATCCTGCCATTTCCTGGGAGGGGCAGGTGGTGGGCGGGATGGGGGAATGGCAAGAGAAAAGCAATACTTTTTATTTGTTTTCCAGTAAATGGAAGAAAGACCAGGGATGACAGATTTCAAACAGTATCGTACATTTTTATATGAAAAGTGTCACTTTAAAAAGGAACAGGCAAACTGGCAGTACATAGAAAGGAATTGGTAGTGATAGGAAAATAAATACTACCTAGGAGACAGGATTAGCTAAGAGAAGCTACGTTGATCTACTGCTAATTTACCCCTGGCAAAGTCAAGAGTTCATAGGAAGGGACATGTCAAATGCAAGTCTCTAGCAGAAATTTGTCTTTGGATAATGATCTTGATTTAAAGCAGGTTGTTATTTTGTTTTTTAATTTGACTTTGTAAGTCATAGTCATGCGTTCACTTTTGTAACCCTCAAATACATAGACTCGAGTCTATGTTCCATAATTTGGTTGATTGTATGGCAAAGGAAACAGTAGAACCTAGGATTTTCCTTCTGGCATTAATTATATTTATGAAAGATCAAATACTGTTACTTGTACTCAATCTTCCTACACACGATGAAAACGAAAACCATGTGCTTTTATTATGAAATTATATAGGTAAATTGCTGTGATGGAGAACTAAAAGTGCTATGTTACAATAACTTAAGACTTGACTACATTTTTGAGATGTGGTATATTGTTTACTTTCCTTAAAACACAAAAAAATGTTTTCAATGCTGCCAGGCATAAAATTAGACAGGCATGACATTTTCCAATGTGTGGTTTATTTAGCACCTCTCAAATGTGAATGTAGAGTGGGTGGAGCAGCAAATAGACAAATACAATTTTCCAAGAAAAAAATGTGTGGGCAACA